TTTTGATACAGAATGCTGGGCAGTTTTTTTTTCCTTTTAGCACTTTAAAGCTATTTTTTTCTGTTGTCTTCTGACTTGTATACTTATTGAAGGAAGGTCTGCTGTCCTTCTTATCTTTAATCTTCTGTAGTATTCCCACCCTTGCTCCTGCTCCAGCTGCTTGCTGCTCTCAGGATTTTCCCTTGTTAGAATGAGAGTGATACTCTGTCCAGCTTTCTACATCGTAAGCAGGTGGAAGACTAATTACAAATATTGCTGCAATAAAGCTTAGGAATGGTGCATCTGACAGTCCACAGTACCTTAGATTGAGTGAAAGATACTATTATATTTTTAATTGAGGGAAAAATAATCTGTTTGGAAAACATAAGGCATGGGGATATATGAACCTTGTTTGGGTTTAGAATCTTAGAAAATTGAGGAGAAAAATTTTCAAAGATGATCATTATGAATTTGGATGATAATGATTTTCCCTTATATCCACACATACTCAATTAAGGATGTCACTAATGCAGTTTACTCATTTAGTCCTTAACCATTTGTGTGCCATCTGGGTATTCCATTTTAAGAAAATATTCTTTTTTAGCACCTCGTGCTCCAACCAACTGGAGATTGGGCAAACTTCTTGGCCAGGGAGCATTTGGCAGGGTCTACCTCTGTTATGATGTCGATACAGGAAGAGAATTGGCTGTTAAGCAAGTTCAGTTTGACCCTGATAGCCCTGAGACCAGCAAGGTAAGAATCACTGCAAGCTACTTTGTCACATTTATAAGAAGCATTTTTACTAAATAAATGTAACGCAATAGAATATTTTGTTTTCCCTTAATACAAATTATTTGTGAAACAAATCAATAATTTATCTACTTTGTACTGTGACTTTTTTTTCTCTTTAGTACTCAGTTATATTCCTGATCGGATTTAGTATTGCTTTAGTATACCTTCAAGGTCTATTACTGTTTAGAGACTTTAAAATGTTTATTCCTTGGGAAGTAAAAATTTCAGAATGAAATCACCTTGATGGTCCATGAAGTTCGAATGTTTTGCTTTCACTAGCAATGCTGTAAAGACTTAAAAGTGAGTTTTGTCTTTCAGGAAGTAAATGCACTTGAGTGTGAAATTCAGTTGTTGAAAAACTTGCTGCATGAGCGAATTGTTCAGTATTATGGCTGTTTGAGAGATCCCCAGGAAAAAACCCTTTCCATATTTATGGAATATATGCCAGGGGTAAGTTAGTACGTCTTATGAAAATAAACATATTCTCTTTCACGTCTTCAATGAGGAAAGAAAAACTAAAACTTTGATTATAATATGTTAAACTACTTTAGAAAATTTTGAAAGTTTTAAATTATTGCTGGGTAATGTAATTTTATTTTGTTTTCATTTATTAACTCATTTTTTTAGACAGTGCTGAGGTATACTAAAATAGGTTTACAGGTACCATAGCAGTCCACACTCAGATTTCCCTAAATGATCTTAAAATAACCATAATAGCTGGTTTATACAAACCAGGATCCAGCCCAGGACTGCACATTACATTGAACTGTTATGCCCCTTCTTTTTTAATCTAGAACATTTTTACATGACATAGGTTTGACAAAGAGACTAGGTGCTCTGTTGACAGTCTCACCTCCTAGATTTCTCTAATTGTATCCGCATAGTGGTGTTTAATTTGTTCCTTTATCTTCTTATTTCCTGTAAGTTAGATTTAGTATCTAAATTAGGTTTAAGATGTGGCATTTTTTATTAGAATGCATCATAGATGATACTGTGCATTTCATGTTGCATCCCATTAGGAGACCTACAATTTCTGGTTGTTCCTCTATTAATGATGCTAAGATTGAGTGTTAGATTAGGATGATTGACATCCAGATTTCTCTGGTGTAAGATTTTGTTTATTCCTGAAGACCAGAAAGTAACGTGAGCTATTAGCAATGGAGCATAAGAATATCCAGTTCCTGGGATGCCTGGGTGGTTCAGTCAGTTGACTGTCCAACTCTTGGTTTCAGCTCAGGTCATGATCTCACAATTGGTGAACGCAAGTCTCATGTGGGGCTCCTCAGTGCCTGTGCAGAGCCTGCTTGGGGATTCTCTCTCTCTCTCCCTTTCTCTGTCCCTCCTCCACTCGTGCTCATGTGCTCTCTCAAAATAAATAAACTAAAAAATAAAAATAAAAATAACATCCAGTTCCTTTTCAGTCATCTACCTAATGTTTTTAACATGGATTGGTAATCATTGCCTGAGTCAGTAGTTTCAATAGAAATTGCAAAATGTGACTTACAAACTGTTATTCCTTGTATGTAATTTTTAATATTTGTAGGGTTGTAGGGCACATTTTAATATTAATGTTTTTCAAGATGGTGGTACATTTACTCTTTTAAAAATACATGCATTCAGGGCGCCTGGGTGGCTCAGTTAGTTGAGTGTCTGACTTTGGCTCAGGTAATGATCTCAGAGTTCATGGGTTTGAGCCCCGTGTTGGGCTCTGGGCTGACAGCTCAGAGCCTGGAACCTGCTTTGGATTCTGTATCTCCCTCTCTCTTTGCCCCTCCCCTGCTTGTGTTCTGTCTCTGTCTCTCTCAAAAATGAATAAACATTTAAAAAGTTTTTTTAAACACATGCTTTCGTGTACTTTAACAGGTAATATATATTAGGAAAAACATTTGATTTATGGGTCTCTAAGTGGATTGTTTATTAGAAGTGTATATGTTTAATGTACAAATTTACAGTTTGAGCTTATGGATCAGTAAAACTGTTGACCAGTATCTAATAGTAATGGTTTTAATCATCCTGTTTCACAAGAGCAGCAGTAAACTTTACTTTCTTATCATCATGAATAATTGTTTATAGAGACACTGTTGTTACTCATCATTGCTACTTTGTATTTTCAAAGATTCTGTTGATAGTATAAATTAGTTGGTTTTTTTTTTAATTCCTTTGGAAAACAAATTGGTGGGATGTATTTAAATGCCATAGAAATCTTCAAGACTTTGAAGACTTTTGGACTGGTAATTTCACAGAAATTCATTCTACAGAAGTAATCCAAAAGAAGGAAAAAGTTGTGTATATTTATTTTAGTATTGTCTGTGATGGAAAATGAGTGCCCATGGTAGAATTAAATTACGATGGTGCTGTCAAGAGAATATGTTAAAATTGTGAAGGCTATGTTGCAAAGTTAGAGGAAGTACTTACAGTAAGAGAAAAAGAATATAAAATACTTTTTAATAATGATGATGGTGTTTTAAGAGTACCTGTATTTGGACAAGGATAGGAGAAACTTAAAAAATGAAAATGTGTCATGTTGGAATTGTGATAGATTTTTCTCTTTTATTCACATTTCGATTGCTGTTTGTATAATAAGTATTTAAATTGGAAATAGAAAATTCTGAATAAGCATGAATAGAGGTCCTGATTGTTGAAGATAAGATTAAATGGTTCGGGCTCTTGGGTGGCTCAGCTGGCTGAGCGTCCGACTCTTGATTTCGGCTTAGGTCATGATCTTATGGTTCCTGAGCTTGAGCTCCAAGTCCGGCTCTGTATGACAGTGCAGATTCTCTGCCCCTCCCCCACACATGTGTTTGTGAGCACTCTCTCAGAATAGATAAACTTTAAATTAACCATTTAATTGGCTGGGACTGATTTACATCGCAAGTGGAGACAGGTGATCCTTATATGTTTAGCAATCTTAAGACTAAACCAGGACCATTCAGGAAGAGGTGTTAGATTCTGCTTCTCATTAACTTCACTTGGTTTTGTAAGGGCAGCTATCTCTTCAAAGTATAGGTTGTCAGTGAAATCATGTTACCAAATTAATCATAGTTCATCAGCAGTCTTAAATGAATTACACATATGCCAAGCCCATGGCATATAATGGTCTGAACATATATGATTTTATTAACTGAATCTCCAAGTTTGTGAAAGATGCTATATAATTCTCTCATTAAATTTGCCATGATGATCTCTTTGTGTCCTCGATTCACACTTTGCCAAGATTGTCATCCCATTTTTCAGTTTTCCCAAATGTAGCCTTCTGTTTCTTAGTTGATCTAGAACTGCTTTTGGAATAGAACCATAACTTTATTCTCAGTATCTGGACTAGCAGCTAGCAGTTGATTTCTCTGTTACACACACGTGCATGCACACACACACACACACACAGTTTTTATCTCACAGTACTTTGCAACTCATTCCACTTGTTCACATCGAAGAAGATAACTGTGTTTTTGGTACACAGGAGTAAACAGACTACACTGATGGAGCTGTTAGCAGCTATAGGCTACTGGCCCAGCTGCCCAAGGCCCAGAAGAGCCTTAAGTCCATCACTTGTTTGCAGCCTACAAGTAATTTGGGGGCTTATTATTTGGACAGCTCAGTTCTAGCTATGTTATTTTGGGTATTACTACAAGTAGAGACACAATAAGTAGACTGAACAAAAAGCCACGTTGACTTGTAGGTGTAGGTACTTGGCTGCCTAAGGCTTTCCACAAATGTGTTTGCAAATTTGGGTCAGCAGAATTGCATCTTGTGGTCCCCCCAGATGTTGTTGATGAATAGTGGAAACAAGCAAATGGTTAAACCTGTAAAGTCTAAGAATCTATTTTCCTATGGCAAAGTATACCATTGGCCAAAACTCAAGGAAAGGCAGAAACATTTGGATATAGAATAGATTTTATCCTTCAAGAAACATTTTATTCCTATCTTTTAAAGTGGTGATTAGTCATCAAATTTGCACATTGGAATCAATCAGTAGGGAAGCTTTTTCAGAATTCAAGTGCCAGTGTCTCACCTCAGTGATTCAGCATTCTCAGAAATGGCACCTCATCTTGCTTTAAAAAGCATATAAGAAAATTTGAAATTCTTCTTTAGTATATTTTCACATATTTTGAACTAGAATGTTGAGTATGTATACAAAAGAAAAACTTACCCATTCTTTCTCCTGAGAAGTAAATTAGCAGATATCAAACAAATAAGATTCAAGTAGAGCATATAGAAAAGAGCAAGTGAGAAAAACAAAAGTATATTCAGGGCAAAGAGTGCAAGATTTTATTATTTATTTATTTATTTATTTATTTATTTATTTATTTAATTTAGAGTATGATTGGGGGAGGAACAGAGAGAGAGGGAGAGAGAGAATCCCAAGAGGTTCTGCACAGTGAGTGTAGAGCCCAATGCAGGGCTCAATCCAGCAGACTGTGAGATCATGACCTGAGCTGAAATCAAGAGTCAGAAGCTTAACCAACTGAGTTAGCCAGGCACCCTGCTCTCCCAAAAAAGGAAGATTCTAAAAAACACAATTGCAAGAACAGGAGATCGTTAGAACCAACATAGTAATGGAAACAAGGGCATCAGTCAAAAAATACTTTTAAAAGGCTTCTTTCAGCTGTGACCATACTCTTCCAGGGTTTGAGTCAGGAAATGTAGTAGAATTTATGTTAATTAGATGGCATATAATGTCCTTAATGTACTCTCCAACTAAAGCCTCCTAGTCATGAACTAAAGATCCTTTTAAAAATATTTAATAGTGGTTTTCATTTCAAACCATACCATAGTTTTTTTGTTTTTTTGTTTTTTTCCCTTTTAGGGTTCAATTAAGGACCAACTAAAAGCATATGGAGCTCTTACTGAGAATGTGACTAGGAAATACACCCGTCAGATTCTGGAGGGCGTACACTATTTGCACAGTAATATGATTGTTCATAGAGATATCAAAGGTAAGTGATGAAGTATTTTTTAAGCATACAGTTATTTTTTTTGTGAATCTAAATGAAACAGGTGATATGATTTAAGAAATTTAACATTTAAATTAATACATCTACCTTTAAAATATCTTAGGAAAGCAATTCTGCTTTTTTGCTGACTCTGTCGATATTCTGACCAATGTTCAGGTCTTCACAAGTGGGTAGCTCATCTGTCATGGTTCCAGAATCAATAAAGTTCAAATGATCATAAAAATGAGACCTTTCATACAGGGGAACATACATATATAGAACCATAGGCATTAGAGTATAGCAGTTGAGAGTAGGGGCTCTGACACCAGATGGCCTGGTGCAAATTTGGGCATCGTTGTGACCTTGGTCAAGACATATAATCTCTCTGTGCCTTAGTTCCTCATTTTTAAGGAGGATAATAATAGTGTCCAACTCATAGGAATTTTGTAAGAATTATAAATGAGTTACTTTATATAATATGCTTAAGGCATATATTTAGGAAACACTCAAATTAGCTGTGATGGTGATATGCTTTATGTTGAGATCATATTTAAAGCCAGGGGGGTAGGTGTCACTATCTAGGGAGAGCGTAAGAAGAGGGAAGAAGAGAGCCCAAGATGAGCTTTGATAATCTGTAACTCAGTTAAACTCTCTTTTTAAAACTCAGAAACCCAACTGTTTTCAGGGAGCAGGTACGTAAAGGAAGTGAATGATGTGAGACAAAAGCAGTTGGCAGAGATGTTTCAAATTATGAGAGTGCCTACAACTTTGTACTGCATAGCGTATCCAGAGGTCTGATTCTGTAAACACTGGGTTGTGGCCCACATTTAAAGATCACTTTATTTAATCGGTCAGTAAGAAACACACACACATGTGCAGTTGATCCTTGAACAACACAGGTTTGAACTGTGTGAGTCCACCTATTCGTGAATTTCTTTTTATAAACTGTGGTACTGTGAATGTATTTTACTTATGATTTTCTTAACATTTTCTTTTCTGTAGTTTACTTTATTGGAAGAATACAGTATATAATACATTTAATATGCAGAATATGTGTTAACTCTTCATGTTATCAGTAAGGTTTCCAGTCAACAGTAGGCTGTTAGTAGTTAAATTTTGGAGGAATCAAAAGTTTTACGTGGATGTTCAACTGTGCCGGGGCAAGGGGTGCCCCTAACCCTTGTGTAGTTCAAAGGTCAACTGTGAATAATAAAAACACATTTTTATTGGTTTTTCTGGGGACTTTTTTGAGCTATCGGGTATTTAGTTTCTTTCTGGTATATGTTACATCATAAATATGGCCATATTCAGGCCAAAGGGAACATTCCTAACACGTTTCTGGTGACAGAGTAGAATCTGCTTCAGAATGCCCGAGCCAGATCGCTGGTATGGAGTGGAGCTTGCTAGTGTGTCTGGGAGGATGAGTACCTGCCTACTGATCTAAAAAGAAATAGTCTTTCACCTCAGTTGTCAAGTACAAAACCTGATAGCTTCAAGAACCACGTAGGGAGATTCTTTGATTGCAAATTATTCTATTAGGAATCACTTCTATTCAAGCCAGTTTCTCTTTAGTTTTCATAATGAGGAAAGGTAGAGGACCTGAGGGCAGCTACCCCTCAGTGGGTCCTCTTCTAACCTTGCCATTCCGGTAAATGAGGAGGCTGGAAGCAAGCAGATTTAAAAGCATTACAGGGCAAATAGGTTGATAAGAGAAAAGCAAGATATAAAACTGGATATGCAATGTGATCTCAAGTTTGCAAGATTAAAGTACAACCCAGGAGAACAATTTCCATATAATTAACAGTGATTATTTCAAAATGGCAGGATGAGTGATAGTTGTTTTCTTTTCATACGTTTTACTTTCTGTATTTCCCAAGTTTTTATAATGTGCAGTTTTTATTTTTACTTTTATTTTTTTTTAATTGTGCAATTTTTAAATAATGAGGGAAAAGGAAAGATAGTTGGTTGCTCTTAAAGTTTAAATCCATGAGTTCATAATGAAACTTCGGATAAAAACGAATTGATCATTGTTGCTAGGAGCCAGCTCATTATTTTATAATCGGGTTCCTTTATTCTGCTTTTCTGTTACAAACTATACTACAGAGGACCAAATAGTGGATGAAAGGAAACATCTTTATAGAAGTGTGTTGGCTAACAAATGAGAAAAGAATAATAGAATAGTATCATTTTGCAACCACTAAGGAATTAATAGATGTAAGCACTAAATATGAACGGTTGCTGACATCACTAAAACAAAGCCAGTCCAGCATTATGTACTTCCTATTTGTAGAATAATACATCATCATCCATGTAGGTGGTTCTGCAAAAAAAAAAAAGCAAAACTGAACCTGAATCTGATCAAGCCTCTAGATTCAGCTACGAATTATAGAACACATATAGCACAGATGCATATGTAGAATGACTCCTTGGGATGGAGACAGCAAGATCTGGACCATAAGGAAGCTATAGGCAAACAGTTCAGATTGTTCATAAATTACAAAGGAAAAAAAGGGATTGGAGGGAACTTTAGATTAGGAAAGACTTAAAAGATAGATCAGTGAGTCTCAATGTATGGACCTTATTTGGATTCTGATTTTTTTTAATGTTAAAAATAGCATTTATTTAATAATATTAAAGAGTTACTGTCCATCCTCTTAGGTGTGATGAGAGTTTATATTTTAAAGATAGGTACTAAACTGTTGATCCTGGTGTGTTGAATTTGCTTCAGATAATATGAGGGGGAGTAGCTAGCAGTATACATACTGGTGGGGAAAGATTGTGGGTACTATATTCTTGTGTATGCTTTTGTGTGTTTGAAAAGTCTCCTTAAAAGCCTACTTCTAATGTACTTAAAATTAGCTTTAAAAAGTTGCAAAGTTATTTTGGTAGCTTGGCTACACAGTTTCTCCTCAGCGTTCATAAGAATGGACATTGGTTCGTCATTGGTGATTACTCCATGGCTTTCCCAGTCTGTGTCCATGGCTCCCCCAGTCTGTGACCTGCCTGGGATTGTTCTTCCCATCTCATTGACAGTAAAAGCTGGCTGGTTTGTTGTCCTTACTCTGGCTAAGCATTTTATAGGGAGTGGCTTTTTTGACAGAATATCTCTGCAAGTTTTGAGCAGTGGGAGATGTTAAATAGGCAGTGTGCTGTTTTTGAGGATCACTGGTGTCCTTATAGCACGCTTAGTCTCATGGCATATAGAGAATGGATCCTGGACCCTCCTCTGGAGAGAGGCTCTGGGGAGTCATTGCTGACTAGCTGAGGAGTTTGCTGGGAGAACAGAAAGACAAGTACAGAAGTCCATGGTGGGGAATGCACAGTTTACATTCTCTCTCTTCTATAATGCATATTTTCTCTACTGTTCACTCTCCTTCTTAGAGGCCATTAAAAAAAAAGGATAAAAGGACAAATAAGGAGGTTTTTTTTTTTTAATATAAAATATAGTTAAGGTAATGGAAGACTTAAAAAATGAAAATTGAAGTAAAGCTTAAAGATTAGAACAGATATGTTAATATAATAAATTGCTTATTTAAGAACATGTTATGGGGTGCCTGGGTGGCTCAGTCGGTTAAGTGTCTGACTTCAGCTCAGGTCATGATCTCACGGTTTGTTAGTTTGAGCCCCGCATCAGACCCTGTGCTGACAGCTCAGATCCTAGAGCCTTCTTCAGATTCTGTGTCTCCCTCTCTCTCTGCACCTTCTCTGCTCATGCTTTGTCTCTCTTTCACGAACATTAAAAAAAAAAAAATTAACAACAAAAAAAAGAACATGTGTATTGAAGAAGCTAAAAATGAGAATAGAAATAATTTATATAAGACAGAAACCAGATCTACAATCCCTGAAGAAAGACTGAATTTTAAAATGATAAAGGGAAGAATAAAGAATAAGAATAAATTAACATAGCACCTAGATCTTGATTTCTGATACCATTCTCCACTAAAAGGAACCAGGGCTCCTTGGAGGAATGACTGATTCTAGGACTGGTGCAGGAAATACACAAGTTGAGCCAGGAGCACCTTTTAGTGCCAGAAAGTAAGAAAATGCTTTTAAATACCCACAAAACCCAAAACAAACAAGAACACAGTGATTCAGGGTATGGCCAAGGGACACAGGAGCCAATACAAAGAGCTCCCAATGGTCAAAGCTGGAACAACTTGAGCAAAAACATGATGCCATATTTGAGTATAACTCAGAGTATAAAATAAATATGTGTATTTATACACAAAAGAAAATATGTATATTTATATAAATGAAGGGTTGAATGAATAAATAGGAGAGAGGAGACAAATGTCCCTTGCAGAATAATTACAAATAATTTATGTAGCTGGTCAGCCTTGAGCACCTTAACTGGGGATTGTGCATAGTGAGCTTCTTCCAAAGAGTGCGGTATGGAAACGGGGGAAGAGTAACTTTCAGTGTGGAACTCAGCAAACACTATCTCACGCCCCACAAGCAAGAGCAATTTATAGTAAATACAATTAGAAGTTTATTGTAAAAGTGAAATTTTAAAACAGCTCAAAGCTAACTTATAGAAATTGAGAAATAAAATTAGTATAAAACAAAACCCAGTAAGTACTAAGAAAAACTGTAAAATGTGAGACAGCTAACATTAAATTATAGTAGTGGGGAAAGTGCTAGAAATTGTTGATTATGAAGGTCCCCTAGGAAGTCCCTGAGGAGGAGCTAGCTCCTCAGGGAAAGAAGCTGTAGCATGGGCTTCTCGCTTTGTTTCAGAGAAACTGGGGCCAAAACCCTGCTGTTGCTTTCTGCATCCTTCTCTGAGCTTCACATTCTTAACTCTTTCCCCCTTTTTCTTTGTCATCCTCGCCTCCCACACACTCCAGTCCTTTTCAGTGTGCGAAGCTTTTTAGTTCCTGAAGTGTACAGAGCTGACTCTAAAAATTCAGTGTTTGTGCAGTAAGTCCTTAATGAGCCCTGGCTGTGTGACTGGCATCATGCCAGGTACTGCTCGGAAGACGAAAAGCAGCCTAATTTTGGAGACAGACTGAAGAGTCTACTAAGTAATTCTCTACCATTGTTTTTTTAAAAATTTTAGGGGCGCCGAAGTGGCTCAGTCGGTGAGTGTCCGACTTTGGCTCGAGTTATGATCTCACGGTTTGTGAGTTTGAGCCCCGCGTCCAGCTCTGGGCTGACAGCTCAGGGCCTGGAGCCCGTTTCGGATTCTGTGTCTCCCTCTGTCTGCCCCTCTGCTGCTTGCACTCTGTCTCTCGCATTGTCTCAAAAATAAATAAACATTAAAAAAAAAAAATGAAAAAAATTTTTAAACAGCCAATAAAAATAATGAATTGAGGATGTTTTTGTATTTTTAGGTGCAAATATTCTGCGAGATTCAACAGGCAACGTCAAACTGGGAGATTTTGGGGCCAGCAAACGCCTTCAAACCATTTGTCTTTCGGGGACAGGGATGAAGTCTGTCACAGGCACACCATACTGGATGAGCCCTGAAGTAATTAGTGGAGAAGGCTATGGCAGAAAAGCAGACATCTGGTAGGTTTTGATGCTAGTTTTGCCTGAAAACACTTACCTTCTTACATAATTCCACCTAAAATGGAAATTACTGAGCCAGACTTAGATAATCTTTTGTACTTTTAAATCAGATGTCAGGAAGGGTGCCTGGGTGACTCAGTCGTTAAGCGCTGGACTTCGGCTCAGGTCATGATCGCACTGTTTGTGGGTTCAAGCCCCACATCGGGCTCTGTGCTCACAGCTCAGAGTCTGGAACCTGCTTTGGATTCTGTGTCTCCCCCTCTCTTGGCCCCTCCCATGCTCATGCTCTGTCTCTGTCTCTCAATAATAAAGAAACGTTAAAAATTTTTTTTAAAAATCAGATGTCAGGATTACAAGGATTACTATCATTTTCATTTTGCTTTCTTTTTTTTTAATGTATATTTATTTTTGAAGGAGAGAGAGACAGAGTGTGAGTGGGGGAGGGGCAGAGAGAGAGAGAGAGGGAGACACAAGTCGTGAGAGCTCACAGGCTCTGGGTTCTGTCAGCAGAGAGCGGGGGCTCAAACTCGCGGTTAGCTATGAGATCATGACCTGAGCCGAAGCTGGACACCCAACTGACTGAGCCACCCAGGTGCCCCTTCATTTTGCTTCTTTGTGGCTTAATAATTAAACAAAAGGAGTTTTTGAACCTGTTTTCCTTTCTTTAGACAGGATTTCATCTAAAGCAGATTTCAGCATTAGAAAACTACCTTCATTTTATTTCCCTGAAGATCTTTGAAAGTTATTAACCTTTTTTGCTAGTATCTTGTAATTCAGTTAATCTTTAGTTTTTTAATAATTTTTTTTTTCAACGTTTTATTTATTTTTGGGACAGAGAGAGAAGACATACAAATGATGTGACAAGGGGAGGGGGGGGAGACACAGAATCGAAACAGGCTTCAGGCTCGAGGCCATCAGACCCAGAGCCCAGCCGGGGCTTGAACTCCACCGAGATCAAGATGACCTGGCTTGAAGTCGGACCTTCTCGACCTTATGCACACCAAGCCTCTAGTTTTTTAATAATTTTAAGTGAGAACATAAAATGGTTATTTTCTATTTCTCACTGAGAAAAGTGTTTAATAGATTAATCATTTTAGGCACCTAAAGGCAAATAGTTTCTTTTTTTTTTTATTCTTTTTATTTTTATTAAAAAGATTTTTTTTTAGAGGCGCCATGGGTGGGCGCGGTCGATTCGCGTCCGGTAGCCAGGTCCGCGATCTACAGCGGTCGGGGAGTGAGCCAGCGTCCAGGCCCTGGGCTGATGAGCCTGGAGCCCTGTTCCGATTCTATGTCTCCTCTCTCTCTGCCCCTCCCGTTCATGCTCTGTCTCTGTGTCCTAAAATAAATAAGCGTTGGAAAAAAAAAAATTTTAAAAAAAAATAAAAAAAAAAAAAAAGATTTTTTTTAATGTATGTTTATTTTTGAGAGACAGAGCACAAGTGAGGGAGGGGCAGAGAGAGAGGGAGGCATGGAATCCAAAACAGGCTCCAGGCTCTGAGCCGTCAGCACAGAGTCTGATGTGGTGCTCAAACCTCATGAACTGTGAGATCATGACCTGAACTGAAGTCCAGCGCTTAACCAACTGAGCCACCCAGGTGCCCCAAGGCAAACAGAATTTCTAATGTTTGTGTCCTTTGTAAGACAAAAGTAATATTTAATAATCAGGTTAGAGAATTACATAATATCAAGCAAAAATTATAAAATTAATAATGTTCTCTGCCTAACCATTTGAATTAGCCCTTATTGTGGTTTATTTTCATTGATTTTACCTTTAAATTTTAGTTTTATATAATTATAATCCTTCAATGAAACTTTAAACTTGAAGTCAAGTTGTATTTAAATGTATATGGACTTCAGTCCTGTTTCTCGTGTCATTAAGTGACTTTCCTTCATGGTGATACTGTTTGTGTAATTTTTTTTTTCTAGGAGTGTGGGCTGTACTGTGGTGGAAATGCTAACTGAAAAGCCTCCTTGGGCAGAATTTGAAGCTATGGCTGCCATCTTTAAAATTGCCACTCAGCCAACAAACCCAAAGCTGCCACCTCATGTCTCAGACTATACTCGAGATTTCCTCAAACGGATCTTTATAGAGGCCAAACTGAGACCTTCAGCTGATGAACTATTAAGGCACATGTTTGTGCATTATCACTAGCAGCCGGTACCTCTACTGTGCCTCTACCCAGCTCCCATCAATTCATTCACCTTCTCTCTGACTGCACTTTTCTTTTTTATAAAAAAGAGAGATGGGGAGAAAAAGACAAGAGGGAAAGTATTTCTCTTGATTCTTGGTTAAGTTTGTTTAATAATAGTAACCTAAATTTTTTATATTTAATCTTTTTTTTCCCTTTCAAGAACTTGAAACTCCTTTTTTTTGTTTTTAATTTTTTATAATGTACTGATGTGGTTCAGAGAGATAAAAGCACTTTAGTACATAGTCACTCTTTTTAGTACAAACAAATCATTTAAAATACCTAAAGATTGTAGAGTCTTTCCCTGCGTCACTGACCGATTGATTCGTGGTGATGGGGAGACATGAAAAACAAGGAGATGAAAATGATGTATGATTTGTAGTTTTTAGTGATAGTATTTAAAATAGATCCTCATTTGTGGGGTTGAGCCCTAAACTTGAGTTTAGGGTAGGTACTCAACTTAAAGAATATAGGTTCCTTCTTATATCTGTATTCTTTAGATCCTAACCTCTGTCTACCAAGCTTTTTGCTCAGTAGGAATCTCGATAGAAAATATGAATCTCTAAGAGGTATGTTTATTTGTTAATTCTAACCAGTATAATAAGCAAATACACTATAATAGATCCATGTTACTGGAATCTGTAAACCTTGAGGGATAGCTTTCTGCTTAAAAAAAAACAAAAAAACAAAAAAAAACGGTACTATTTTAGTTTAAAGCAGATATGGGAAGTCAGTGAGCAAATCCAAATTAAACGGCAAAAAAAGATTGCTCTATATCAGCATGCGAGCAGATGAAACCACATTTGCCAGTCAAAAGAAATAAGGAAAAGAAGAACTAAATATTGTTTAGTATATTTGCAACTGTGTTCTTTATCAGAGGTAGACAGTCCCAAAATTAAGGGAAAAAAAAAATCAAAATCATGTATACTGTATTTCCCTATTTCTAGCTCCTGATTCCCCATGGATAACATTCTTTGGGAACTAAGAATTTAACTTGGAGTATCATGTGTTACAGCTAGTGTCATGAGATAAAATCCTTGTTCTTGGGATCACAGAATACTAAAGCACCAAAAAATAGTTACCATGTAAAATAGTGGTTCTCACGTGTCAGATGAGGTTACTTTTGCTTTGCATTTGGCAGTGCCCAGAGATGATTTTTCCTGTCACAACTAGAAGGATGTTAGTGGCATCTGGTGTCCCAAAGCCAGGGACGCTGCCAAACAAACTACACTGTACAATACAAGTACAGCAACCCTGTTCCCCAAGTAAAGAACTATCCTGCCCAAAATGTTAAAAGTGCTGAAGTTGAGAACCCTGATGCAAAGACCAGCCCCAGTTATAAACTGAAAACAGCCATTTGCAGAGCAGGGTCCTTGCAAAAAGTAAATTTCAGAGAGAAAGTGATGCACAGTGCATAATGAGGGTTTTACAAGAGCAGATACCACTACTTTAAGTCAAGGGTGAGTGATCTCAACAAACATCAGATAGCAATCCTTTCCTTACCAGCTGCATATTACACCAAAACCAGTACCTTCCATTGTAGAAACAAAATGAATTTAAACACAGAACCTGTTAAACCCAGCCATCTGTATGTATTCTTTCCTCAAAAGTCAGTTCATAATTGTGAGAAAAGCAAAGCATATCAGAAAAGAGTATTAACTATTTTATGGGAAGGTTTAAGGTATTTCTAGTACAGCGTATCCCCTAAGAGCAAGGGCATCCAGTGGAAAGAGGCAGCTGGGAAACTCCCATTAGCTCTAATGGACTTATGCTACTGAAAAATATCAATAACATCAGTAATTTGGCTACTTGCGATTTTTTCAGCATATTAAAGCAAGTGCTAAGTGCTTTATTTTTAAAGGTTAGAAAATAGTCTTTTTGGAGGCCCTAAATGTGTTGCCTTTTATAGGGTTCATAAGGAGCTCTAGTATTTTATTTTCTGCTTAAAGGTATGCTCTTCTAGGGACTCTTTTAAATTACTTTGTTTCTGAAGATAGGTAGATCTTGGTTTCCTATATCAAGGTCCTATCTGGCATTTTCTGTAGGAATATTTGAAATACCACTAGCTAGGCTGAGAAAAAAGTCAAAGCACAAATATGCTTGTCAAAGTTTCTCCCATACGCTCATAATCAAAGGAAGCAGCTTACAAAGAAGAATATGAATTAGTGGCCCTTCCCCTGGAAAATCAACTGCCAAATCTTGTGCTATAAACATAGTAACCAAGGATGTGGATCTATTATAATTTCTTTATCTTTTATGAGTGAAGGCATCTCTTCTGCTTGAGCAAGATGGTATCTGGACCAGTGGGCTTTTCCTTCATTCCTTTGTCTTGTGTAGTCTTGATTTCCTTTGGGCTCATTTTTGGTCTGTCAGGGTAACCAGCAGTGTAGAATATGAGACAGATGCTCTTTAGAGAGAAATCTTGGGGGACTGTGAAACCCAAAGCAAAATCATTTGCTTTCTTCAGTCTCTTTTTTCTTCTGTAAGTGCCATAGAAAATAAATTCACCTGAAAAGAAATTACTGCTTTAACACTGCTGCAGAAGACCTTTGTTTTATAAGGAAAATGTGGGAAAGTATCGTTCTTTATGTTAAGACTTTAAAATAGACTAATAGTTTACAGAATTGCTATATAAAATGTGATGTGAATTTATTTCAAACAAGTTGTAAAGGTACCAAAACCACAATAAAAGTTAATATATTATACAAAAACTACTAGAACAAAAAAGCTTGAAGTGGGATGAGGTGTGAAAGACCAAAAGTAAATTAAAAAAAAAAAAAATTGAAAAGAACCTCGCCCCCCCCCCATTAGGGGCAGTTAAATATAACACTCCAATTTTTTCTTTCTAATAATGGTGTGGATCAACAAATGAAATTTGAACTTTTAAAGATGACTCAATGTATTTTGTTTTTTAAATGCACAACTGATTCTTCTATACTGTAATATTTCTTTGCTGAGGCTGGAAAATGGCCAGACTGCTGACTTTGTGCCTTTAAAATGTGTTCTGCTTTGATAGTGGCAGACTTTTTGGTGCTGGAGAAGATTCACTAGCAGTCTTATATGTGCTTTTCAGGAAATATCTTTCTACGTAGGCCTTGAGAGATTCAAAATGGCATGACTTAGGCTTGGACCAAATACAAGATCTTTTACATTGCAAACAAACTGTACTGAATAAAAGGGTTAAAAAACATCACAATGACTAATGGAAATTTTGATGGTAATTCTTTAAAATGTATTTAAAAGTATACAGACTTTGAAATTTTCAGTATGAATATCTTGAAAATTTTTCAATTTTTCTCATTTATAAAACATGTTTCTAACTTGAAAATGCCTTAGAAAGTTCTCAAAGGCAGTCAACCTTACATAATTTCTATGAGATTGGAATGTTAATGCATAGACAGAAATATAAAAGAAAATGAAAACTTGAATTGGCTTTCACATGAGGGAGGCTTTATTTTATTACCAATAGAAAGTACATGAAGAAGGTGGAATTATTTCGTTAATAGCTCTCTGCTGCTTTAGCTTTTATATATGTCAGGTGTGGTCTGTAGTACTTCTGAGATGGAATTGTTATAAGATACGTGAAGACACTAAGAAAATCAAATCTGAATAGTTTATAGGGATGACCAAGCTTGGGTGCAAAAGCCAAGATGTTCGTCAGATGCAGATTGACCCACAGAAGAGCTCTGTGCCAATGGTTTCATTTGGGGTCTAGAGACCAGTAGCTGGATACACAGTCACCTGGTGTCAATCAAATATAGGAATCTATCAATTTCTTTTAAAGAGGGTGAGTCTTTTTCACTTGCTTATTCAATAATTGTGGTTTATTATGTCAGGTACTAGATTAACTTATCCCTTAAGTAGGTCACAGTCTAGGAGGAAACATGGGCAAATGGATTCTTATTTTATGGCATACCCTAACTCTGAAAGTTTAGCACTGATTTTTTTTAATTCTTTTTTCTTTAAATGTTTACTTATTTATTTTGAGAGAGAGGGAGTGGGAGAGGGGCAGAGAGAGGAGAGAGCAAGCTTCGCAAGCAGGCCCCGCACTGTCATTGCTTAGCCCATCGTGGGGCTGGAACTCACAAACTATGAGATCACGGCCTGAGTTGAAATCGAATCAGAAATCAAGAGTTGGACACTTTACCAGCTAACCCACCCAGGTGCCCCCAGCAATGATGTTTTTAAATGCTGTTGTTTTTTATGAAATGAGGGGAAAGAAATTTTGGGCAATCTGGCTGTTACAAACTAAAATGTCATTAACAGAGATTAAAAGTATTCCCAAATTGGAGGGACCCTCTGGGGTCAGGAGGCCTTTCTCAGAACTCCCTCTTGTATAAAAGTTCAGTACCTACTCAATTCCTGTGATGAGGGGCATAAATTCCATAGGTTTTTTTCCCTGCTTTTTCTTTCAAAGACAAAATAAATTTTTTTTTTTTTAGTCTAAACTATTAAAATGCCCAAAACATTTGATAGAAATTGAATCCTGTCAACAGTGTTACATATGCCAGGATCAGGACAGTGTCTTGAGACCTCATTATTTTATATTAAGTTTGGCCTTTTTACAGATGTAATGTTCATATTTATTTGAATTTTAAGATTGATTAACTGTTAATGAAAAGCAATTTAATTGTTCATTTTTGGTAGTGCCTTTTTCTCTGTATGCCTTAATTTTATTTTATATCAATAATAATTCAAGTTACCCACCGAAATGAAGGTTTTTCCAAAATCAGTAGGCTTCAAGAGTTCATTTGGCCTTGGGACTGTATATTGACCCTTAAATCTTTCTTAATGCCTGCTTCCTCCTACCCTTTTCTACCTCTTTTTATTTTACATATATATATGTACATATTTTACATCTATATATGTTAGAAGAGAAACATTAGCGTTAGTCTATGATAGACAAAGTGCAGTCTCCACTAGACCTGAATGCCTACGATAAGGATAGAAAGAGGTATTCTAATTCTAAAGAGACATAGCAAATTTTTTTGCAGGTTGGTAACTTGACTGTCAGTCACATTGGCACTGTCCAAATTCTTTGTATATCATGGTTTAGTGATGA